GAAATGATCTACTTAAAGGCTCTGATGTGGTGGAGAGGGTGTCCTATGTTTCTTATACTTGCTTCTAAAGGTTTTGAGTTACAGTTTGGTGTAGTGGTTAGGAGCATGGACTTTTGGCGTATTGGTTAGGAGCATGCTTTTGTCAAAACTGTTTTGACAGCAAACAAGGTAAACAGAATAAGAAGCAAAGGGTGGGTGTGGCTGGATGACCACACTTCCAGTAACATGGGGGTGTGGCTTAACATGCTAATGAGCTGTGCTGTCAGGGGGTGTGACCTAACATGCTAATGAGCTGTGCTGTCAGGGGTGTGGCCTACTATGCTAATGAGTTCCTGCTGGGCTTTTTCTACAAAAAGAGCCCTGTGCATAATTATAAGGTTGGAGTTTTTTTAGTCTTGAAATGCAAAGGTGGTATACACAATGGTTTCCCAACATGAAATTTGGGTAAAGACTCACTTCTACATCCATTCATGTTATCTTATAAACATTTATATTAAAATCACATTGTTCTGTGCTCCCCTTTCCAGAACCAGTGTGAAATTCAATGCATCCTTAATACGATAAGCTTCCTCTGGAAGAAAGATGGTCACTTTATAATAATCTGTTTATTTATAAAATGCAAAGTTTGAGCAGAATTAAACAGGAGTCTAATGGTACCTTAAAGACTAACAGGATTTTATCCCGGCATAAGCTTTTGTGGACTACATCTGCCACAAAAGCTTATGCTGGAATGTATTAGCCTTTAAGGTGTAGCTGGACTCCTGTGTATTTTTGCTGCAACAGACTGAAAAAAGTTAGCACCATGTTCAAACCTGGCAGAAAGGTTTGACTTACATTCTGAGTGCTTGTAACAGACTGCAAGTCTGTTCTTTATCAGAGGGCTTTTGGTGAAAGGCAAACTGTTAAAGCTGTGCTTAACTCTGTGTACTGGCTCTTAAATTTGTTTAATTGTGTATTTATTATAACTCACTGGACACATAGAATCATAGAATCAATCACAGAGTTGGAAGGGGCCATACAGGTCATCTAGTCCAACCCCCTGTTCAATGCGGGATTAGCCTAGACTAGAGCATCCCTAACAAGTGCCAGTGAGGGGGAGCTCACCACCTCACTAGGTAGCTGATTCTACTGTTGATTCCACAGTTTTGTTAGATGCCTTGAGTTTGCAGCGATAAGGCAGGGTATAAACATTTCAAATAAATGAATGAATAAACAAACAACCTGTTAGTGTCTGCTGTGCCCCAACAACAACAAGCTCATACCAGACCCTAAAGGGAAAGCTGCTGCTTCACTTGGCATACAACAACAGCGTGATACACAACATTGTATGGACATCTTTGTATATGAGAATGGACCTTCATGAACAAACGAAAATATGTGGATATCAGTCCTTATTCAAGAATAATTTTGGGCATCTCTCTGTTTGAATTTCTTAACCCAAGATAATAACTATAAAGCACATTAAAATGTCATATGAATGATGAAATAATATATGGACATATAATCCAAGATTATGTTTTGGAGCAGTTAGATTTTACTAAACTGGAAGCTGGTTTTATCCACAAAAAATAATAATAACAACAAACGTGCGCACGCACACACACAGAGAGAATTTCTCCCTAAAACCAGACTCTGTTATTGTCTCTTGGTTTATCCCTGCTGTTTTTCCTGTAAAAGGAAACAATGTATTTTTTTCAAGTTAAAAAATAAACACTTGTAGTTCTGCTTCAAACTCAGGGTAAAGACAGTATCTCAGATTTCAAAACTGCACGTCATCAGATTGTTGAAAATTGCTTCTGCAAAGAAGTACTCATATTTGTCTGCTAATATTTCTCACCATAGTGCTATATTCCAGTATACTGATTCCATCTTCATTCACAGCTATCCACAATGGATAGTCTTCCAGGGCAGAAGGCAGGACAGGCTGAAGAAATAATAACACACATCAATCCCTTTGTAATTTCATGACATTGCTGCCACTCCGTAGAAACCCAGACAATATTATCAGCAGTACTGCAACTCTGCTTCACTCCAGAGGGAAACAGTCAATTATCAAACACACATGGCAATTTACAATGTGGAAAATGTAAATTCTGATTAGGCCCTCAGTTTTTGCTCACTCAGTCATGATTCCACTAGCTAGCCTTGGGCAAGTAATAGTCTCCCAGGCTCTATTTGTAGTTTTAAAATGTGAATATTATTGAAATAGTTTAAGAAAACTGAGATAAAGCCTCATTTATCCTAGAAGTGCTTGATTCAATTAATGAGCAGAATTGTTCAGGAGGGCATTTTTATAATGGAAACAGGGTTCTAGCTTTAATGTCAGTGAGAAATTTTAGGCAAGTTTCATTGCATGTACTATTTTTGGCGTTCTAATTTTGTAATCCGGCTCTACTGCACTGTTTATTCTACATATCATGCTGGTTTTATTCAGTCTTGCTTTTATTAATTTTGTTGTATTATACTTTTGTTTTTGCATTGAGCTCTAATTTTGTAATCCAGTTTTAATGACTATATGTACCTTTTTTTTAAAAAAAAATGTAATTTGCATTGAGTCCCAGCAAGAAAGATTGTTATAAATGAAAATTATTAATAAATAACGCAAGAGTCAAAGACAAAAAAAGAAATCAGACAAAAGTTTTTAAAATAAAAACAATTCTTTTAGACTTGGTCTGTTGCAAGCAATTTTCATTACAACTTCCAAAGGTATTTATGATGACTTAGCGTCCCCTAGTGGTGAGAAGAACACATGCTTAACAGTTCGAAAACAATGTAACAACGCTGAGAAGACTTTACTATCCCTTTTTAAAAATCAGTACTCTAGAACAGATATTCTGTGGAATGCTAAACACACAGAATTACCTTAGCAGTAAACAGTTTGGCTCCAAAGAGGGGCCATTTCCGAGCCACAGTCAAAAAGATCCGGACACATTCTGCAGAAGAACACCCCTGCAGCACCGTCCACTTTGCCGCCAATCGATCAGCCAGCTGTCTGTGGGAATAATATCACAGCTTCTTCAGATTCGACTAGTACAAAACAACTGTGTTAATATTGTATCCTGGATAACAGATTCACCACCTCAGATCTTTGTTTACATCCCAATCACCAAATTTCACAAGCCAATAAAAACAGGTTGCTTACCTGTGACTGACGATGTTCGAGTGGTCCTCAGTGCATTCACAGCCTTGGGATTCTAGACGCCAGTGACTTCTAAGCTCCATAGCAATGATTTTTCAAGCCCCCACCACTGTTCATGCTCAGGAACTCCATCATGCATGCCCAGGGGCGGGGCGCAGAGATCCCACCAGTTCCTTCTGACCACTGTGTAACCCAACTAGAAACTGTAGGCTGCCAGCAGAGGGGAAGGTTGGGCGGGTGGTGTGAATGCACAGAGGACCACTCGAAGATCATCAGTTACAGGTAAGCAACCTGTTTATCTTCTTCGTGGTCTCTGTGCATCACACCCTTGGGAGAGTAGCAAGCTCTGACCTACCTGTTGGAGGGCGTTCAGTTACACATCAATTGAAGAACAGCTCGTCCCACTGTCGAACAACCTCTGGCCCAAACGTCCAAAGCATAATGCTTGACGAATGTAGTAGGTCTCACCCGCATTGCAGCTTTGCGGATCTCCTGCAAGGGGGAAGTCCCTGTGAGAAAGGCAGCAGACGTGGCTAGAGCGCTCATGGAGTGGGCTTGTATTGGGCCAGGCAGAGGGCGTTTAGCCGTGAGCATGCACAATTTGATCATTTCTACTATCCATTTTGGGGCTAAATTTTACAACCCTTCTGATGCTCTGCATAAGAAACGAAAAGCTGATTGTCCTTGCAGAAGGCCTTTGTCCTGTCCAAGTAAAACAGAAGGGCCTGACGAACATCCAGAAGGTGGAGTCGTTTCTCTGAGTCAGACTTCGCGTCCAGAAAGAAAGTTGGTGGGGAGGCTTCTGCCTGGAGGTGGAATTCTGAGACAACCCTTGGAAAGAAGTTAATATCAGGCGTCAATGACACACCTTCTCCATGAAAACGAAGAGAGGGAGAATCACATCTCAGTGCCAGCAATTTGCCTATGCAATTAGCCAAGGTGATGGCAACCAAGAAGGCCATCTTCCAGGATAGTTGAAGGTCACATTTGGCTATAGGCTCAAATGACCTTCGAGTTAGGCTTTGGAGAACAAAAGGCAGATCCCACATGGGGGTAGGCTCTTTCACTGGGGAAACATTAGCATAAGGCCCTTCAGGAAATGTTTAGTGTCCGGGTGGGCAAACACTGAGGAGCCATTGACATATTCATGGTAGGCCGAGATGGCTGCAAGGTAAATTCTCAAGGAGAAGGAGTAGAAGAAGAAGAGATTGGATTTATACCCCGCCTTTCACTGCCCAAAAGAGTCTCAGAGTGGCTTACAATCTCCTTTCCCTTCCCTGCCCACAACAGACACCCTGTGAGGTAGGTGGGGCTGAGAGAGCTCTAATGGGAACTGCTCATGAGAGAACAGCTCTAAAATAACTTGTAACTGACCCAAGGTCACACCAGTAGCTGCATGTGGAGGAGTGGGGAATCAAACCCGATTCTCCCAGATTAGAGTCCACACTCCCAAACACTACACCAAACTGGCTCATACCCTTGTCTACCAGAGTCAGTAAGTAACTGAAGATAAGAGAGAGACCTGCAGTGACCGGGGAAGCTCCATGCCCCAGAGCAAAAGGCTGGAATTTGGTCCATTTGTAGGCATAAGATTTCCTAGTGGATGCCTTCCTACTATTCTGCATGACCTCCCTCACCTGTTTAGGGAGGAGGTCCAGGTGATTCTCCATGCAGTCAGCTTCAAATGAGGGACGTCATGGTGGAGTAGTCTGCCCCCTGGGAGAGAAGGAGGCTTGACACTGGAGGAAAATAGTGGACTTCCCTTTGAGATAGTTGGAGGAGGACAGGAAACCAGGCTTGGCACAGCCACAATGGAGTGATGAGGAATCACTCTGGCTTTTCCCACAGGATCTTGTTGGAGACCCTGGTGATGAAGGGGGTAGGGGAAATAGGAATTTGTGCAACCAAGGGAAGGCTGTCTCCCAGAGATCTTGGGTCCATACCCCCCACCCCCGCAGCAGAAATCCAGGCATTTCTTGTTTGTTCTTGTCTCAAAGACATCTATGAGTGGCTGTCTCCATCCCTACATACTGAACACTGGTTGTGGGTACATCCAATTCATTTCCCTCACCTGTTTAGGGAGGGGGTCCAGGTGATCCTTCCTGCAGCCAGCTTCAGATGAGGGATGGCATGGTGGAGTACTCTGCCTCCTGGGAGAGAAGGAGGTTTGACACTGGAGGAAAATAGTGGACTTCCCTTTGAGATAGTTGGAGGAGGACAGGAAACCAGGCTTGGCACAGCCACAATGGAGTGATGAGGAATCATTCTGGCTTTTCCCACAGGATCTTGTTGGAGACCCTGGTGATGAAGGGGGTAGGGGAAATAGGAATTTGTGCAACCAAGGGAAGAGAAGGCTGTCTCCCAGAGACCTTGGGTCCGTACCCCCCACCCCCGCAGCAGAAATCCAGGCATTTCTTGTTTGTTCTCGTCTCAAAGACATCTATGAGTGGCTGTCCCCACATACTGAACACTGGTTGTGGGTACATCCAATTCATTTCCCACTCGTGTAGTAAGCCCCTCCTCTGCTCAGGAGATCCACTTGGGTGTTTTGTTCCCCTGGGAGATGAGTGGCTACCAGGAAGATTCCCTGCGTCAGGCACCAGGACCACAGTTCGATTGCCAGGAGGTAGACTTTCTTGGATACTGTTCCCCCCTTGACGGTTGATGTAGGTGAGGGCCGTTGTGTTGTCCATGAGGACTGAGACAACCTTTCCCTGCAGAGTTGGGAGGAAGGAGAGGAGAGTGAATCAGATGACCAGAAGCTCTAGGAAGTTGATGTGGTGATGATGATGCTGGGGTCCTGCCCATACTGAGCCCACTGACATGCCTCTGAGGTGGGCTCCCCATCCCCATAAGGAAGCATCTGTGGTGAGAGTCTCTGTGGAGGTGGGGCATTAGAATGGGTGTCCTCTAGCAGATTGGGTTCGTGTTCCCACCAGGAGGGAGGTACATGAAGAGGCACACTGAGCTGCATAGCCTGGGGTGTATGCAGGGTTTGATACGTTTGAGGAACCAGAGCTGCAGAGACCTCATCCAGAGTCTGGCAAAGGGTATGACCATAGTTGTCACTGCCATGAAGCCCCGCAGGCATTGAATGGAAATTGCACTTGCAAACCCTTGTGACTTGACTTGATTTGCACTTGCAAACCCTTGTGACTGGGATCAGAGATGTTATAGTTGTTGCTCTCTGGGTCGACAGAAAAGCCCTGCATAAGTCGGAGTCTATGATAGCTCCTATAAACTCCACTTGCTTAGGATGGGGACACGTTGGACTTTTTGAGGTTGACTTCTGTAGTATGAATGGGAATATAAAGAGACATCTATGAGTGGCTGTCTCCATCCCTACATACTGAACACTGGTTGTGGGTACATCCAATTCATTTCCCACTCGTGTAGTAAGCCCCTCCTCTGCTCAGGAGATCCACTTGGGTGTTTTGTTCCCCTGGGAGATGAGTGGCTACCAGGAAGATTCCCTGCGTCAGGCACCAGGACCACAGTTCGATTGCCAGGAGGTAGACTTTCTTGGATACTGTTCCCCCCTTGACGGTTGATGTAGGTGAGGGCCGTTGTGTTGTCTATGAGGACTGAGACAACCTTTCCCTGCAGAGTTGGGAGGAAGGAGAGGAGAGTGAATCAGATGACCAGAAGCTCTAGGAAGTTGATGTGATGATGATGCTGGGGTCCTGCCCATACTGAGCCCACTGACATGCCTCTGAGGTGGGCTCCCCATCCCCATAAGGAAGCATCTGTGGTGAGAGTCTCTGTGGAGGTGGGGCATTAGAATGGGTGCCCTCTAGCAGATTGGGTTCGTGTTCCCACCAGGAGAGAGGTACATGAAGAGGCACACTGAGCTGCATAGCCTGGGGTGTATGCAGGGTTTGATACGTTTGAGGAACCAGAGCTGCAGAGACCTCATCCAGAGTCTGGCAAAGGGTATGACCATAGTTGTCGCTGCCACGAAGCCCCGCAGGCATTGAATGGAAATTGCACTTGAAAACCCTTGTGACTTGATTTGCCTGATCAGAGATGTTATAGTTGTTGCTCTCTGGGTCGTCAGGAAAGCCCTGCATAAGTCGGAGTCTATGATGGCTCCTATAAACTCCACTTGCTTGGATGGGGACACGTTGGACTTTTTGAGATTGACTTTCAGGCCTAAGTCTTGAAGTAATGACAGTGTGTTTTTTTATGTTTTCCAGAAACTGGTTTTCTGAGTTGGTCACCAGAAGCCAGTCGTCGGTGTATGGGAAGACTATGATGCCATGGATCCTGAGGTGAGCTGCAACCACAACCATTGTCTTTGTGAATACCCTGGGGGCAGTGGAGATCCCGAGGGGAAGAACTGTATGTTGGTAGTGATTTTGGCCTACCATGAAACGTAGGTAACGTCTGTGATGCAGCCTGATGTTGCGATGAAAGCATGCATCCTGTAGATCTATTGTAGCCATCCAAACCCTTTTCTGGAGTAGCGGTAGTATTTGGGAGAGCTGTCACCCAAAACTTGTGATAAATGATGAATCTGTTGAAAGTACATTAAGTCCATAATTGGTTGGAGCCCGCCATCCTTCTTGGGAACTGTAAAATACTGGGAGTAAAACCCGTGTCCCCTTGACTCCAGAGGTATTGGTACTACGGCTCTCTTGTAGAGGAGAGATCGCACATCCTCCAGTAAAACTGTTGACGTTGTAGTGGTAACAACCCATGAAGTGGGGGGCAGGTGGGCAAATTTGATTGCATAATGGCTCTCTTGTAGAGGAGAGATCGCACTTCCTCCAGTAAAACTGTTGACAGTGTAGTGGTAACAACCCATGAAGCAGGGGGCAGGTGGGCAAATTTGATTGCATATCCTTGAGAAATGATGGACAGAACCCAACTGTCTGAAGTTATGTGTCTCCAGGCTGCAAGATGGGGATGAAGTCGGATGTCACAGGGATAGACCTTCTATACAAGCCCTTCTATCAGGATTGGGGGCTATAGATCTAAGCCATGAGTATCGCTGAAGTGCCACAGCAGAGGTAAGGGTCTTGGTGAAGGTATCTAACCCATGTTTGGTGGAATTGAGCTGTTGCTTTGCTAGGAGCATAACTTAATTTTGAATCTTCCTAGCCACTGTCTTCTTGTCAGTGGGGAGGCTGGAGAGGGTCTTGGAGAGTTGCTCCCACAGGGAATATTGATAGCGACCCATACATGTCAAATGATTGGCATTCTTGATCCCCAGAGTTGACATAGAATAGGAATGTCTGCCAAAGGAGTCCAGCTTCTTTCCCTCCTTGTCCAAAGGTGCAGAATGGGTGTGTTTGCTCTTGGAAGAGGAATTTACTACCAGAGAGTTTGGCTTAGGATGAGAGAATAAAAACTCTGCCCCAGTGTCTTTCACCTTATACATGTGGAATGGGTGTCTTGATGATATAGATATAGGTGCAGGTTTACCCCAGGGCTCTTTTGCCACTTGCAACATGATTGTGGTCATGGGGAGGGCTACGGTGGTGGAAGTATCCAGCTGTACAATATCAAACACTAGATCAGTCACATTTGGATGAGGCTGTACAATGGAGAGGCCCAGAGTGTGGGCTATTCTTTTACCAAGATCTCCATACGATTTTAAGTAATCAGATGGAGAAATTGGCAAGTTCTCAGTGGTGTGAGTAGGTGGTGATGGTTCAGAGTCTGGAGTGTGATGCACAAAATTATTGTCATCAGACTCTCTTCCCAGGGCACTGCTATCAGTGTTGGACAGTTCCGAGTCAACCTGCATATTGATGACTGGTGACTTGGGTTTGCCTTGCGTCGATGCCGGGATCCCCCTCGGTGCCAAGGGAGGTTGCCAGTAAGTTTCGTTATGTCCCTGTGTCAGCGCCTGTGTGTTGATCCCGATGGGTCCAGAATTTCAGAGGCGTCTTCTCTACCACGCAATGGGGTGATCTTGAGCGGTAGGAGAGAATGGAGCGTTGCTCCCAGTCTGGTGATCCCCTCATCTGGAGCCTCAGAAAGGATGGGGGGGGGCAGGCACCATGCAAGTATTGGAACTGTCTCTGGTCCCATGATGGTTTCCGGGGTGGTGCAGGCCACTGAGGTGGCTCTCGTAAGGAGCCACTGGGGCTCATTCGGGGATCCTGTAGTATGCTTCCAGGCGGGCATCTCAGGGATGGTGTCGAAGGATGCGAGCGGGCATTGGTTGTGGAGGAGAGTTGCCTCTGCTCATCAAACCTGACCAAGGGGAGCACTGGTAGCTCTGTTGTGTTAGGTCTATTTCACCTATTTCAGATTCAGAGAGGCTGAGGGGCTGGGAGACAATCAGTTGAGGCTTCAGTACCAGGAAGTTCACCTGATCAGTCGGTTGCTGAGTCGGCGCCAGCTGGGTTAGTATCGAGTCCAGTGGTGGGAGTACAGCCATCACAACTGGATGGTGAGTCGTCAAGCTTTCTCTTCTCTCCAGTCGGTGAACTTATTCTATCCTTTAGCTCCTTGTTGCTCCCGTGTTGTGGCACTGTCAGTTCTCTGACTTCTGCTGTGCAGGAGAAGTGAGCTTTGGGTTTGCGCCAGGAGCCTCAGACGGGGTGTCCAGGGTTACTTCACTGCCGGAGCTTTCTCCCCTCATGGGTCTAGCCTGCTGCACCTTATTTGGCTTCTCTCTCTCTCTTTCCGCTCACTGGCCGTGGCCTTCACCATCTCTTCCTCGGCTCTGGCGTGCTCTCCCCTTTTATTCACTCCTCCAGCACATGCCTCCCTTTTCCTCCCTCCACCTGCACTTCCATTGGTTCTTTTCCTTTTCGTTCTTGTTCCCCCCCCCCGCTGGCTGACCCTCCGATTTGTCCTTCCCTTGTTCCCTTGTTCCCGCCGGTCTCTTTCTTCCTCCGTCTTCTGCATTGTCGTCAAGGGCGGGGCTCAGCTTGCCTCCGGCTGTCTCATCAACCGTCGCCTTGGCCGTCATTGCCCCGCTGGGTCTCTGGGTCGTCCCACAAGCCTGTAGCTGTTGCTGGGCACATCCCCACGGCTCTGTCTTCTTACCTAGTTCTCGTGGCTGTTGCTGGGCATGTCCTCACGGCTCCCCTGCCCTCTCCCGGTCCGGCACTCACCTCTGGGATCCTGGTCACCGGGCCTGTTCCCACTGCCGGGCCCTCAACCAAGGGCCACCTTGAGGCAGCTTGCCATTCTCTGAGGGAGGGGGTGGCTCAGGCACTCTTACCACTGCGAGGGCCGGGTCAGACACGTCGAGGCATGGCGCCTCGGCGTCTTCACCTGAGAACGCATTCCCCCGTGACTCCCCCGACCAGGTACCGGGGAGGGGACCCAGGAAATGGGTTATCCCCTGTTCTGGATGGGGTTTCATTCCCCCTAAAGAATGCTGAGGCAGAGTGACCATATCACTCCAGTCTTGTTCCACCTACACTGTCTTTCAGTTTTCCTGCAGGCTCAATTCATGGTGCTGGTATTTTAAAACTCTGTATGGCCTGGGACCAACATATCTTAAGGACTGCCTTCTCCCATATGAACCTACCCATACACTCTGGTCAGCTTCAGAGGCCCTGCTTCGGTTGCCTCGCCACCTGAAGCTAGACAGGTGGCAAACTGAGGAAAGGTCTTCTTGGTCATGGCACCAGAACTTTGGAACGCCCTCCCCAGGGACATTCGTCCGTCTCCCTCTGTCAGTGTCTTTTGCCAGCAGGTGAAAACTTTTTTATTTTGTCTAGCATATGGTTACGGGCCCTCCTTTGGGTGTCATTTATGGATTTTTACTTGAATTAATTTATAATGTTTTAATGCTCAAATGTTTTAATGTTGTTTATGTTCGCCCCCTTGTGGAATCTGACTGCTTGGAAAGGTGACATAAAAATGTTTTAAATAAACAAACAAAAAAATGAATCAAATACATGCCTATGTAAGCCAAAACTGAAATACAGGGAGTAGCTATTACCAAAGTTTTATATAAACTTCGATATTCTTACTATTCTTAACTTTATGTGATGCCAAAAACTGTGATTGTTGGTCAAATCATTATAAATTTTCATGGAGGCAAGCAAGGAAATAAAATATATTGTTTTAAAGGGGCTGATCCTCCCCCCTTCTCCAATGTCTCAGTACTACATGCAGATTAAATGCTTTTATTTTTATCTTTCTCATTCCTTCTCCCAGTCTGCTGAGACTGGGAAATACAGACAAAAAAAGGTGATAAGAGACAGGCTGATTTATTGACAGTGCAGGCCTATGCAGGGTTACTCCAGTCTATATCCATTAAAATTACTGCAATAACTCTACATAGCAGTTTATTTATTCATTTATTTAGGAAATCTATACGCTGTCTCTCCAGAAACCTGTTTGAGTCAGTTCACGAATAAAAACAATACAAAACACTCATAAAAATAGTTACATTAAAATGATCAATAATAAACCACAAAAACAAAGCAGGGACCTAAAAATTAGCATTAAACAACATTCAGCAGCCTAATATTTATAAAACAGAGCTCAGCCTAGAAACTAGGAGGCCTTGAAGACCACTAAAAAAAGACTGGCTGATTGTTAAAGGAAAAGAAAAGCCAGCTGGAGCTGCAGTAGGGCTCCCATCCCCTGGATGGGGTCGGGGGTTTACCTGATGTCTGCTGGCCGGCAGGAGGAGCCCCACCCCCAAGCAGCCCCATCCATGCCGACCCGCCTGGCACGATGACACGTTGCCTGGAGGTGACATCATCACGCAGGGAACATTGCAGGGGGGATGCTCTAGCATCTGAGAAAAAACTCCATGGTAAGAATAAGAAGGGAGCCGCCCTGACGGAACAAAGTAAAGACCTGGGAACCTTAAGCTGCAGCTAAATTTTGCAGGGAATGTCTTTTTAGTCCCCATGTATGAGTCGTGGCCATTTGACTCTGATTGTGTTAGCTCTGCCATAGTCTGCTGAGTTTTTCTGTGGGGCTGTTTTACTCTGCTCTTAGCCCCAAATGTGCACAGGAATTGCCCTGTTTTTACTTGTGAAATGCTGGAGTGTATGGGACAAGTCTTTTCAGTTTAATGTATAATAAATGGGCTATACAGTATTTAATTTTCAGTACAAAAGTTCACATCACAGAATACAAGCAGGCACATTTATTCACTTACCTTATCTGCTCAGCAGCAACACGGTGCTTGTAACGCTTGGGATAGAATTTGTCTAGCACCTGCTGGAGAAGATGCTGCATTTTGGAATGTGATGACCCCCCAGGGCTCGATGGTACTGCTCGATCCAAATCTCCATAATCCACCTAAGGAACAGGATAAGGTAAAATGGAGCTTATAGAGACTGACAACTGTGGCATTACATTAACAGTATGTATTTTGTGGAAAGTAAGCAGTAATGATGAGTATGAGAAAGCTGCTTCCTACAATCTGTTTATTTATTTTACTTATAATTTGTTTATCTCCCACATCTGGGGCTCAAGGCAGCGTGTGTGTGTCAAATGCCATCAAGCTGCTTCCAACGTATGGTGACTCTATGAATTAATGTCCTCCAAAATGTCCTATCATTAACAGCCTTGCTCAGGTCTTGCAAACTTGCTTGAATCACATGTTGGGTCTTCCCTTTTTCCTATTGCCTTTAAATTTTCCTAGCATTACAGTCTTTTTCAGTGACTCCTGTCTTCTCATAATGTGACCATAGTACAACAGCCTCAGTTTAGTCATTTTAGCTTCTAGGGAGAGTTCAAGCTATATTTGTTTTCTTGGAGGTCCACAGTATCAGTAAAACTCTCCTCAAACACCACATTTCTTCCTGTCAGCTTTCTTCATTGTCTTCATTGTCCAACTTTCACATCTATACATAATAATGGGGAACACTGTGGTATGAATGATCTTGATCATGGTCACCAGCATCACATCCTTACACTTAAGAATCTTTTCTAGCTCCTTCATGGCTGCCCTTCCAAGGCACCTCAGAGAATCAATATATCTCATTCTCAACTTGGCCCCATCTCTGGACACTTAAATCCGGGGATTCGGACAATGAGCAGACAAGTCAGATTTTTCTACAAACCTGAGGAAAGCCCCTAGGTTTGCCAAAAGTTCTGAAATCTTAAATAAAAAGATACATTGTGAGTGAAACCCCCCCCTCACAAAATAATAGAAACAGCACCTGTGGCTTTAAGAATCTCAGTGGCCATTGTGGAGGTTGCTAGGCAACCATGACAGTACTACCAGCCTTCAAGCCTTGCCTCAAGTCATGAAAAGACAGTAGGAAGAGCTGTTCTGGCCTTTGAGGATAGACTCATCATGGCCAGGTCTGGTAGCAGCCACTGGGCAACTTGCTACCAGGCGACTTGCATGATTCACCTACCCAGGCTTGGCAGTTTACTACTGTCCTTCAGAAACCACCTCACAAAAGTCAGTATGGTATAATGGTTAGAGTTTCAGACTATGATACGGGAGACCCAGGTTTGAATCCCGACTTTGTCATGGAAGCTTGCTGTGACCTTGGACCAGTCACTGTCTGTCAGCCTAATTAACCTCACAGGGCTGTTGTGAGGATAAAATGGAGAAGGGGAGAATGATGTATGCTGCTTTGGAACCTGATTGGGGAGAAAGGCAGGGTATAAATAAATTATATAAAGCTGAAAACCAGGGGGCAGGGAAGGTTCGTGGGTGGGAAGAAGAGACGGAAGCAGGGAAAGGGGAGAGACTGCCAGGAGGAGAGAAAGAGGAAATAGTGTGTGGAGGGCAAGACAGGAAACACAGGTGCTCCCCACAAGTCCTTGCAGGTTCCCTGCTTGTAAATATATATTTTAAAAAGTCAAAACAAAACAAAAATGTTTGAACAAAAGTGTATCTCAAAACACAGACTAATTATTATTTGGGATAATCAAATAAAGGTTCTGGATTTATGTTGGTCAATCAGAAACTAGCTCATTTCTAGACAGAGGTGACCAGTATGACAAAAGGCCAGCTCGAGCTACTAGCATATGATCAACCTAAGGGGTAAGGTCCCCCCATGCCCCCCCATCTCCTGCTCTGTGCCAGTAGCTGGCTGGCAACCCAACTAAGGGGATCCTAATTTTATTTCATCAGGCAGTGGAATAACGTTTGCTCATGAGGTGTCTCTCCTTTCCCTCCCTTAATAAGGAGGAGGAAATGAAGCTGGCTTGGGAAAGTCAGGTTATTCCTCTGTCTTACACTTAATGTTGCCAGCTCCAGGTTGGGAAATTCCTGTAAATTTGGTGGTGTAGCCAGGCGAGGGTGTAGGGTTGCCACCTCTGGGTTGGGAAATTCCTGGAGTTTTTTTGGGGGGGTGAGACCTGGGGAAGATGGGACCTCAGCGGGGTGTAATGCCACAGACTCCATTCTTTAAAGCAACTATTTTCTCCAGGGGAATGGATCTCTATAGGTTGGGAATCAGTTGAAATTCCGGTAGATCTCCAGGCCCCAACTGAAGTCTGGCAACCCTAGGAGGGCTGGGGTTGGGGAAGGGAAAGACTTCAGTGAAATACAACGCCACCTTCCAAAGCAGTCACTTTCTTCAGGGCAACTACTCGCCGTAGTGTGGCAATCAGTTGTCATTCCAGAAGGTCTCCAAACCCCAACTGGAGGTTGGCAACCCTACCTGCACTATGTCCCAGAATCTACTCTGCTTTGTTTTGGCCTTCTCTGCCATAACCCTGCTGGGCTGTTCTGTTTGTCTCCTCTGCTCCCGGCCTCTTTCAGCCTACTATCTGAAGGTCCACCTCCTCCCATACTGTCCAGCTTGCTCAGTTAAGATCTTCCTCCCAAGCCCTCCTCTCTGTGTCTCTACCTGCAGAGGTCAGGCAGGTGGTAACTAAAGACAGGGCTTCCTTAGTGATGTCCTATGCCTTTGTAATGCCTTCTTCCATGAGGTTTGCCTGGTGCCTACCTTACTACCTTTTACATCCATGCCAGAACATTTCTATTAAAACAAACTTCTAACAGAAGTTAGAAGCCTAGTAGCCTTATTTTTATGACCTTGGCCTGCATTTTCCAGGTTTTTTACATTTTACAATTTGCCTTTACACTGTTGGTTGTAGTGGCTTCTGTTATGATACAGGTAGATTTTTTAAAAAATCTTTTACACAGATTTATTGTTCTAATTTGTATTTCCTGCTTTGTTTCTCTCTCTCTGTTCTTCCTCATCTCTCTGCAGAAATAATCCTTTTATTTCCTTTGTCTTTCTCTGTAGCATACATGCCAAGGGGGCACTAAGAAGGGCAAATCCCCACCACTTGCTATTCATGTTAAAGTGTTGTGCTCGGGCAATCAAAGCTCGGCTACCTGAACAGCTCTCAGAAACACTACCAGCAAAAAATATGACACCAAAATTTACTCACATTTAAGCCATTTCAACACAAACCCTTCTGAAATACTAGTGTTTTCCATGCCCTTCTCAAGGACTTGACACATGGCTCCCTGTCACACAGCAGCAATGGTGTGACATAGGAAATACCCAATTTGTAACAGAGGCCAAGCTCACATGCCATGAGGAAGGGACAGTCAGTAAGGAATGGTGGGTGGACCTAAGAGGATGCACAGGTTCATTCCAGGAGAGGTGGTCCTTCAGCTCAAAAACAAGTCGCTGACTGCTCACCTGGGCCATCAGAGCTGCCATTTCCAGAGCCAGCTCCTTATTGACAGGGAACCTCCCACTGGCTATTTCTCCACTAATCTGGAAAGCCAGCAGCAAGCGCTCTCGGTCTGTTTCACCTTTGGTTTGACATCGAAAATACAGTCTAGATTGAAGAAAAAATGCCAAGTACCATTATAGCAGAGCATCTGATCTAAGTTAAAAAACTTGGATAAATAATGTCAAGGTTGTATAAGTAAACACACAAGAAAAATGACACAAGAGCCTGGGAAGTTCTCCTGCATAGGCCTTATTGAAATGAAGGGGAGCCACAGAAGAGCACAGAAGTGTCCTTGCATAGCTTGGGTTAACTTTAAAGGAACTTTTGCAGGAAAATTTCCTTGGGGATTATGCTCTCAGACTTGGAAGCTTGGCAGAGAGAATTAACATCCTCCATATATAAATATAGCATAAATGGACATACAGCCTGTAAGAGATCAAAAATGTATTAGCTGATCCACAGCTTCTCCAACAGAATCTAACAGACACAAATTAGCCCCACAAATCAGAACATCAAGCCTCCCAGGGCTGAACAGAAACATGGGATTCTCATCTCACTGCACATCTGCCCCTAAGCATTTCTCAAGCTGATTACATTTTCAACGCCCCTCCCTCCTTCAGACTGGGGCATAAAGACTTAGGGGTCACCATTCCTACTTTTATCTGACAAAGGGAACTTTGACTCTCAAAAGCTCATATCACCCAAAATGGTGTCCAAGGTATGAACTCGAAACTAAACTTGAAATTTGCCCCCCGTCATACTAAAGATCACAGGGCAGTGCTCTGATGCACCATCTTATACACATTAATTGGCTATATCATATTCTTAGAGCACATCAGCACAAAGCTTATTTTGGAGATTGGATACATGCCATGTGGATGACATGATTTACATATCTCAGGGCACAAGAGTCTGAGAAGTTCTCTTGCATAAGCCTTGTTGAAATGAAGCAGAGGCTTCCATCTTCTGCTGTTCACACAGCCAGTGAAGACAACCACAAGATCAGCATGAGTTTTCCATCACCTGCATGAGGGTATCTTGGGTACATGGTGCCTATAAACTATAACAGTCATCTGAGAATACTAGCAGTTTCTATGGATTTGCACAAGAATCACACCAAAGATCTAGCTTATCCAGCTTTCTCTCTTTAACAGTAGCAATATTTATGTTTATGGAAACTTCACAAGAAGAACACAGTTGCATTGGCCATCCCTTGGTGCCTATCCCCAGACTCTGGTATGCTGCATCTGAACACACAAGGCTTCATAGCTAATAGCTATCGATAGACATATTTCCAGCCAGTGGATAGTGCACATTTAGCAAGCAGCAGGGCATTCTTCCAAAGGAAGCACATCTCTGTCAGCACATCTCCATGAAATTCCTAGGACATTGTCCAACCAAACTATTCAGTTAAGAATACTGTTTTTATATGTTAGCTTCACCTTTCTTGTGCCACCTTCATACTTCCCAGGATTCAACTCTTTTATATAACCTATAAAAACCCACTGATATCAGTGGTGCTGATATCATTGATGCTTCCACGCTCAACTACAGCTGGATTGTGACCCTGCCATTTTCAAGTCCAGTTGCTTATTTCATAAGAACACTGCATGTGCATCCCGAATGTGCATCTCTTTCTCTTATCCTCAGGACTCCTTCTCCAACTTTCTCCCCTCTTTTTGTGCTTTTTGGTCCATCAAGGTCAGTAGCTCTCCAGAATCTCAGGCAGAGGTCTTTCACATCACCTACTGCCTTTTTACTGGAGATGCTGGGGACTGAACCTGAAAACTTCTGTGGGCCAAGCAGATGTTCTATTACTGAGCCACTGTGCCCTCACACTCGTCTTATCTCCATTGCACTGCTGTGACCACATCGTCTCTGCCTTGCCATAGTATTCTTAACTGGATCATTTTTCAGACAGATTGGTGCAGATCTCCACTATTTCTCTTAAAAGAAAAGAGTGCATACCTTTTTGTTGTTACCCTCCCTTTTTCAGCTGTTGCGCTGCACCCTTCCTTGCATAATGAGCTGTTCTGGGAGAGACTGTCTGTTTTGTTCCTGTACAATACTTAGTATAAGTATCAAGCCCTTAATATTGGAACAGGAACAATAATATTTTTATACCTTATTCTCCACATAATCTCCTAAACCCAACAACAGCTATAATCAGACACACTGAAAACATGCAGATTTTTGCGAGCAAATTCAAGATAGAAGACTTTATTCTATCCTGCCCTATGTTGATTTTGGTTTTTGTTGAGCAAGCTTTAAGCTGTATAAACCATAAGAGTTCATAATTAGATGGATACAATACTAATTTGTGGACAGTACCTGTTTTTATATGTTAGTTTCACTATTCTTGTGCCACCTTCATACTTCCCAGGATTCAATTCTTTCAAAGCTTGCTCCCACTTTGAAATGACATCACAGATCTTAAAAAATAATATATGAGATGGGACAGGTTGCCAGGGCATAGAAGCACATATAGATAAGGAACAAGAGAATGTTGTGGGCTAGCCTCAGTTCAAGGGATCTGGACATGGATTCTTATACAAATAATTAATTACTGTTCATTATTTTACTGTCGGTCATAGCTGTATCCCATTTTTCCTGCAATGAATTCAAGGTGGCACCAATTGGCCTGTGGAGTGGATTAAACTAAAACAGAAAGGCAAGTTTAATGGCTGAGCAGGTATATAAACGTGCATTTCCTCACATCCAAACTCATAAGCTAGCCACCCAACAATGGTGTTAAAAAATTTTCTAAAATTCCTAGGTAATAATTAATTCATCTTCATTTCTTCCCTAAATTCCTACAAAGAATTTAACAGAGGAGTTGGAGATAGTATATTTACTGGGATCAGGACACACTATTTGACAACCATATAATATTTTCACTGGTTATTTTTCAAAGAGATAATATCATGAGTACTAGCATCAACATTCTTTCCATTATTTTTTTACAGATTATACTGCATACAATAGGAACATATGACATTCAACCCACCATCCCCTAACAGACACACTTAAGGACAAACAACTTCCACAACCAGTGCTCATTCAGATGGATATCTTATAACACAGGGGTGACCAAACTTGCTTAATGTAAGAGCCACATAAAGTAAATGTCAGATGTTTGAAAGCCACAAGACATGAACAAATATTACATGTTTTTACTGGGAAATACGCAAATTTGCTTTTTATTAACATTAAATGAGAATGCCAAAAATAATAACAAAAGTGGTAAAAGCAGATATTGATAATGATATTTATTTGTCCAATGATAATTTGTTTGCTAATGATATTTAGCTTCCCCAGCCGCCCTGCTGGGAGCCGTACAATATGTGTAAAAGAGGCTGAGCCTCTCCTGAGCCACAGTTTGGCCACCCCTCTTATAACATATCATCTGATTACATTACAGTCTTAGTAACCATCAACCATCAAATATTTGTAGAGGATTAGGAGGACCTGTATAGAAATGGAATTGAGTAATCAAAGTGAATTACCTTCACAGGGCCTTGAAGGCAGTGTTCTATGTCCCTGCCAGATGGATCATCCGTAAAGAGGGAAAACCCAGAGAGTGATGACTGCCTCATGCCTGTCTCTTGGTTCAGGTACTGCAGGAACTCTTCCACTGTTGAGGAGCCATCAAACCCTACCACCTGGAATGAGACAGATGAAATAACACAATCTGAAGACTAAAATTGGGTGGGTGTACAGCATACACCAGGAATGGGCTTAAGTTAATGAAGGGTTTGCGCAAAGACATTCTCACTCTCACATGCTGCCAAATTGTCACAAGAGCAAATAATAGCAGAGGGACCATGGTGTCAAATGAACTGATGCAAATGAACACACCGTGTCCAAAAAGATCAATTGTGCTGTGTTAAATCTGAAAACATAATGTGAAAATGTATTACCTGTTTGATTGCAGCTATTTGAATAAATCGATAAAACTGTATAACCAGCAATTTTATCCACTCATGCAAAATTTGAATCAACAGTAAACATCAAACTTCAAATACCCATCTAAGATCCAGTGTTTCACTGGAATCAATCCCACTGAATTTAAATGGACTGAAAACAATGCTCAGTACTTCAAGTTCTAATGAGTCAGATTAGTTCCCTTTCACATAACAATTATACATCCTCTCAGAACTTATTGAAACAAGAAACACTCTCTGCTCTTTGACAAAAGAGAATCCACTGTTGGTGTTGGTTGTATGCCCCTGTGGCTGCACAACTTTGACTTTGCAACTTTGCAACTGGAAACTCTCTCTGATCTTAAACAAAGGAGAATCCACTGCTGGTCTTGGTTACATGGTCCTGTAGCTATGCAACTTTGGCTTTGTGGCTTAACAGGTAATCCAGCAACCCCTATTTCTCCGATCTTTTTTCAGAAGCTGTAAATTTAGCATAATCCTCCATTCAGAGAAGAGAAGAAGAAGAGATTGAATCTATAACCCCCCTTCCCTCAGAGTCTCAGGGCAGCTTATGATCTCCTTCCCTTCCCCTCCTGACAAGACACCCTGTGAAGTAGGTGGGGCTGAGAGAGGTCTTTCGAGGACTGCTCTTGAGAGAATAGCTCTGACAGAACTATGGCTTGCCCAAGGTCAGAAATCCCCCACACAAATCCTCACAATGTGGTATAAACCAACATTATAATCCAATGTATATGTGCATCATATAAATTATCTTGAATTTTCAAATCTGCAAAGACATGCATGCATAAATCCAATTGATTGGTCAGCCAGAGGAGTATGGATTCATGCCTGTCTTTGCAGATTTGAAAATTCAAGATAATTTATATGATGCACATATACATCAGATTATAACATTGGTTTATACCACATTGTGAGGATTCAAGTGGGGAAATTCTCTGTTTGAATGGAGGATTCTGCCGAGTCAAAGCTCACGTCTTTTGAAGATGATCAGAGAAACAGGGGTTGCTGGATTACCTGTTAAGCCACAAAGCCAAAGTTGCATAGCTACAGGAGCATATAATCAAGACCAGCAGTGGATTCTCCTTTGTTAAAGAGCAGAGAGTGTTTCTTGTTTCAATAAGTTCTGAGAGGATGTATAATTGTTATGTGAAAGGGAACTAATCTGAACCTGAAGTACTGGACGTTGTTTTTGGTCTGTTTAAATTCAGTGGGATTGATTTCAGTGAAAGAGCGGATCTTAGATGTGTATTTGACAACAGTGGGAGTTTGATGTTTACTGTTGATTCAGATTTGCATGAGTGGATAAAGTTGTTTTATTGATTTATTTAGATAGCTACAAAGGGGTGATACATTTTCACATTATATTTTCAGATTTGACATAGCACAATTGATCTTTTTGACACAAATTGCCACAAGAGTACAAGATATGTGTTAAGGAGATTTATCAGCCCATAACTATAACCTAAGCTAACTATTTACCCTCCATCATGCTTATTCACACATCTAAAATGTGAGTCTAGGACTTGTGAACGTGGAAAAATTTTCTATAGCTGTATAAGCCCGTCTGTAAGCACGGACGTGGGAATTTTTTTTTATAGCTGTATAAGCCCGTCTGTAAGCACAGTTCACAGCAAGGTATCTAATGAGATTGGAGGGTACATATGAAGTAATTTCAGACAGGCTATTATGCTGAAAGACCACCAATGTCTGTTTCTCAGCATTCATGTTTTACCTGGTAGGTTCCATTCATGAAGTGCACTGGAATACTGAAGGGGAGTGAGTGATGGTAGGGATTTCTCAGCAAAATGGACACAATCTCCATTCGGGAAGGTTTGGCTTCTCGTTCACCAACTTGCCAAGTACGTTCCACTGATCTCTGACAGTAAATTGCATACTTTCCTATTTCACTTCTAATCACAGAGACAGAAAAAAAATTAACGTACTTCAGAGATATTCTGCTATTTATTTTATGTAAAACATTCCTATGCTGCCTCTCCACCTAAATCGGCAAAAATCAAAAAGTTTCAGCATTAAAACATCAAGACGTTAAAACAAAATATAAGTGTGTATAAAATATGTAAATGATTCAATAAAACATATGAACACACATAACAGGAAAAACCATGGAGGAGGGCCAATAACAGTTATTTACGACGATTGCTCCACTCCAAATCCATGGTATCATTGAAAGGCACACAATGTAGCATCTTGCTGAAGCTATAGCCAGTGCCTTAATGAGATACCTGTTATGCCACTTTCAGCTCTATCAAAACAAAAAGGAGGGAGGAAAGATGCTAGGTGACAGCTTTATTGTTATACAAAGCCCCTACGAGTTTTGCTGTAAAAGCTTTATCAGGGAGATCAGAGACTTCGCTTTTTACTGAACCTTTCCATAGCAAGTTCTAGCTAGATTCAAATCTAAAGTTAGGGGCATTTCACAATTCCAAAATTAAGTTCTAGCTAGATGCAAACTTAAAGTTAGGGGCATTTCACAATTCCAAATTCCTATGTGGAAGAGATTTCCATGTTAATTAATTAGTAAGTTACAAATTAAGATAAAAATGGGACATTGTGTGCAATTTGAAAGACCAGTTTATACACTCTCTGGTGCTGCATAGTACCCCAAAATTCAAAGCTGCATTTATTTACTTAAAACATTTATTAGCCACCATTCTACTTTATTGGTACTCAAGGCTGCTTACAATGTGGAGTTGTGGAATTTTCCCACAACTCAGTGTTGTTGTTACTTGGAATAGACAACTCCCCTTATCCAACTGGCTAACATCCTGGCTATATACTTGATAATGCCTGTCACAATGCTATTTACAAACGAAAATCCCTCCCCCTCAGTGATATGTCATGACTCTCTAATCTTCTCCAGTTGTCCTATCATCTGCTGGCAATCTACCAATCAGAAGCAGTGGCATGGAGATAACCTCTGTGGCAGCAACTTATCCCTGTGGTGAGGCACTTCAGACAAACAGCTTGCCCTGTGAGGCTGCTGCTTCAGAAATCCAATTTTAAGCAGTTCTCTTAGGATTGCTGTTCTTTGTGAAGCCAGGGCTGCCAGGTCCTGGTTGGCCATGGGGAGGGGGCGGAATGGAGTGATAGGGTTGCCAGTTCCAGGCTGGGAAACTCCTGGAGATTTGGGGATGAAGCTTGGTGTTAAGATGGCCGCGACCGCGTGCACCCGGCCATGTGGTCTACTGGACTCACAGACCTTCGGATCTAGAACAATAGCCCCCGCGGATCCTAGCGAGAACCAATGAGAGCGCTAGGATCCTGAAGAGAACCTACTGTTACCGGGGCCCTGTATATAGAACCTATCATGGGAATTGGGGGGGTGTTGGGTGTGAGTGTGTGCACCAATATAAGCCAGCCTCGCACCGGCTAAGCTATCCTTTATTGTTCCGATGTAATTAATACATGAGAGCTGATTTCACTATGCTACGCCTGGAACTCCACTACTTTTCACTTGGGAGGACAGGGACCTCAGTGGGGTACAATGCCATAGAGTCCACCCTCCAGAGCATCCATTTTTCCCGGGGTGACTGTCCTCTATAGTCTGGAGATGAGGTGAAATTCCGGGGGATTCTCAAGTCCCACCTGGAGGCTGGCATCCATATGTGAAGCTGGTCTTACTAAGGGCCGTTTGCAAACGGATGTTTCATTCTGATCCAGCCATGCAGCTAAACACAGAAAAGGTTCAGAAGCAACTCAGCAGGGAGGAAAAAAATGACAAGTTGTTCACCTGGGGTTTGCATGCTGCTGCAAGTGATGCTTGACATACCAAAGGAAATGGTGCTGAGGCAAGAAGAGAGGAGCACACAGAGCCAGTAATTGCCAGCACTGCAGAGGAAAACAGGTTTTCAATAAGTAAAAAAACTGCCACATTCCAGAGGTCACCAACAATTACTCTCACAACAGAATGACTTGTTCTCACTGAGCTGCTACACAGGGCAGAAATACGTATATTGCACAAGGATGAGGAACACATGTTTTGAAAAGCATGTTCACTGGTATAAAAGATGCACATATCATACACTCGTGGAGTTCAACTTACTATGGTTCCACCCTTAGGCACGCATGTCTTCATGAACAAATTCTTTTAGCAACCCTTACTGAAAGGATCCTTTCCCACTATTCTCATGCCAGTGTCTATATTAAACACATTAAGACTTTAATCCTAGGAAAGTTCCCCTGGGAGTGTGCCCCACTGAATAACTTCATTCTCAGTAGACTTGCTTAAGATTGCTGCCCTTGCAGAGACAAGTACAAACTTTCAGGCTTTGCCTTTTCAGTTTGTATCTGTAGGATGATATATAATTATAATGATTTATTATAATTTCTCAAGGTCCACCCCCAATACTTCCAATCAGTCTTATGAGCACAAATTCTACTTTGTGAGCTACTGGCATTAAAGTTGTGAGCGATTTGGCTGCTGCATAAATTAGTTTGCTCTGGAACCATCCCTTCCTGAGCGAAGACAAAAATGTGTGAGCTGAAGGCTAAAAAACTGTGAGCTAGGTCACACTAACTCAGCTTAGAGGGAACACTGTTTGTTACACTTCTGTAAGGACTCAAACTACTTACCATGTTCACACATTATCAAAACAAAACCAATCAGGACAGTTCTGTAGACATAGACATGACTAATTCTGCTTCCATTGTAAGATATTAGGGATGGGCCCAAACCTAAAAGGGCGGTTTGGGGTTCAGAGTTGCCTACGAACTGAATACTGAACCAAACAGGCCCCACATGAGTCGGACCAGTCCGGCAAGTTTGGTTCCCCCATTCTCCTGGCCATGGCAAGCCACAGCCAGAAGAAAGAGGAGGGAGACCATCCTGAAAGGGCCTTCCCTTCCACCCTTCTCCAGGCACAGCTCACCAGGACCAGGAGAAGGGGGGGTTCACTTCCTTTCCCCCGGCCATGGCTCACCATGGCCAGGAGAAGGGGGGGAGATCACTCGGGAAGGAGCTTCATTTAACCCTTCCGTTTTGCTTCCTCCTTTGGGGGGGGGAGGCAAAACTTCAGGGTTAAGTGGCTGGCCTCAAACAGCCGAACCAGACCAGCCTAAAGTCCAGTAAACGTTTGAGGAATGTGCCTTCCCCGAACATCAGTTCCCAAGCTCCAAAATGGCCCAAGTTAGGCCCAAATTTTGGCTTGTGAGCCAGTTTATGCCCATCCCTATAAGACATTAAGAAGTAATCAGTTAATGTGTTGTTTAAGTCTCCAATATATCAGTCAGCGCACGGAATTGCCAAACACAATGGCCAGAAGGACTCTTACTTGAATGACTGAGTGGTTCTGAGCTGGTCTGTTTGTCTGTTTAATTAGCTGACAATAAATTTCATTCTGTAGCTCATTGTGGGTCAGGCAGACTTGTAAGGCGGTCTGGGCTAGCGACACATGGTAATCAATGGAGGGAGCTTCTACAGGGACGTTGATAAACAGCTGGCAAGACTGAAATTGGGGGAAGAAGAAAAGCATATTGAAAACTGGGAGAAGCTTTTCACTTTTCTTACCGCAATGAAACACTTTAAACTCCTTTTATAACCCTGTGCCGGGCTTCATCGAACATTGTTTTGTATCCTCTTTTACAGAGTAAAAAAAAATCTTACAGTGGCTTTGGGCATGTTTATGGGATTATTTTTCTCTGCATACTGCTTCTGACAAAGGACAGGAATCCTCATCCAAAAGGGAATACCACGTCTGTTTTTAACAACATGCCTTCACATATCATCAGAAGACAGCTCTATTGATGCTGTTCTTTGATCTTCGAAATGCAGTGTGACAATAAAAGTAGCTTAGTATTCACCTAGAGAGCCAGTTTGGTGTAGTAGTTAGGAGTGTGGACTCTAGTCTGGGAGAACTGGGTTTGATTCCCCACTCCTCCAAATACAGCTACTGGTGTGAACTCGGGTCAGTCGTAAGTTCTTTCAGAGCTGTCCTCTCAAAGGCAGTTCTCAAGAGAGCTCTCTCAGCCCCACCTACCTCACAGGGTGTCTGTTTGTGGGGAGAGGAAGAGGAAGGGATTGTAAACCACTCTGAGACGCCTTCAGGTAGTGAAGGGCGGGGTATAAATCCAATCTCTTCTTCTTCTTTGCATGGGTGCTGCTCGGTAAGATGTTGTTCTGATCCTGGGCCTAAGACTGAGGAATGAGTAGCCTATAGGCCTCAAGGAAGCATTAATCCCACTGGGAGGCCTGGGGCCTTGCTGGAATTTTCTCTCTAGGCCTATGATTCCCAGGCACCCTCTGAGCCTTGTGATTTAACTGGGTTAAAATTGGAAGGAAAGAGAAGGCCAACCACCACGAAGGATGCTGGGATTTGTCAGCAATAATATAAGGTCCCCCTGAAGAAGGAAGGTGTTCTTCACCCAGTAGCTGAGTGGCAGAGAAGCTGCTACCAGCAGGAGAGGATCCCTCACCCAAGGAGAGTGGGTTGGATCCTGGGAGGGCCAGGTACAGTGGGGAATCAGTGAGGCAGCTGCATTAGGAGACTCCGTTGTTTTATTGCTGGCTCCCTTATCTGTTAATTTTGCCCTGTTGGTTGATACACCCCCCTTTAAGGATCCCCCCCCCGTTTACTTATTACCTAACCTTGTTCAATAAAACAGTTTGTTTTAATCTGCCTGGCTTCTCACACCTCAAGTTTGACTGTTCACCTGGCAATGTCCTCACCAATGGAGGGGTACTGGTTGAAAAGCTAAAGGGTCAGGGGATACTCTCGGCTCTCCCTGGTTTGAGCCCTCAGACCACAGTGGTGGCATCTATTCAAGGCCCTTGCCTGCTCCAGGGCTGAAGGAGGCAAGAGGAAGGGGGGTAGGGGGCTAGAGGGCTCCTGAGAGGGGATGCCCACCCCACGTGGCCCCTTGCACCTGAATAAGATGGGCAATGAGAAAAAGCAAAAAATGCTGGTTCAAAGCATAGGCTAAGGACTCTGGAAAAGATTGCAGAGCCACAAGCAGAATTCTCATTTATCCCCCTTGGAACTATTAGGATTTCTCCATGTAGTCATTTTTGTTAAACGTTGACTTTTCAGTATACAGTTCAGGAAGTCAATGTACTCTCCTTCCATTGGTTTTTTTCTTTCACATCCTGTCACTGGAACACCTCAAACAGAGGTAGCAACTGGAGGCCTCTGGGCCAAACATGGCTTGCAGAAAAGTGCCATCTGACCCCTTAGCTGCCAGACTAATGGTCAAACATAGTGAAAAGGAAATAGTATCTTTGGAAGAGGTACTTTAAGAGCAGGCCTACCACCCCTCACTTACTTCTTAAAAGGGCCATTCAGTGAAATTATGGGTGCAACAAAGCCTTTGCCAAGCAGTATGCAAACACAAAAGCCATGCTTATACAAGCTCTCTAAGCCACGAGGAAAGTTCAGTGATTGGTGGAAAGTGCCAACTCTGTACATAGAAATGCCCATTCAGGATTATCTTGTTTGATGGGAAGATGAGGTAATTGTTCTTGTTGGATGAAGCCCCTATCAGGCATATATCTGCTGAACTCCTCATTGGTTCTCCTGTTTTCAACTCTCACTGACCATGCAATCGAAACTAGACAGCAAGACACTGGAATAACTGTCAGCTTGGAAGGTGTTTGGCTGCTTCTTTAACTTAAAATTCTGAAGAATTACAATACAGCCTAGTTTTAAAAAGTCAAAGAATCCCAGGCTTTGACAGATTTTTCTTTGGCTTTACAAATATTTAGGAACCAAACATTTCTCTTCCTTTGGGGTTTCATATTTAATGACCGTATTTCCTAATTATTGCTACCACAATATCTAATCCTAAACTCTTCAGTATCTTGTCATTTTAAAGCTTTGTATAAAGCTACATATGGGGCAACATCGGCTGTCATCACAACCAAAAGCAAACCTCTGTCCCTCACATAAACAAGCTTTACACTTCTACTGAGAATCACCAAGAAGACATTACAATAAAGGACAGCTGAAAATACTGGATGCCGCAATGAAATTTCTAGGCACTGCGGCTCCCAGTCCCTGGAATTTGTTGAGCCCTGACGTATCCTCCCGCAAACATTCTTTGCCAAATGCTCAGCTAGCTCACTCTGTCAACCATGCAGAAAGAAAGACAGAAAAGAGAAATCTGTCAGTCACATAAATTCAAAAAAGAAAATATGATCAAGATTCAGGGAATCATAAATTAGGTCTCTTAGTTTCATGAGGACAAGAGGGCTTTATACATGTTTATTTTGAATAGCAGCCCTCATGCCACATGGTGAAATGCTGCTCAGACAGAGGAGAGTTTCAAAAGCAGTTTCTTTTTTTTTTA